AGGTCTTTATGGTCCTCGATTAAGTCTAGAAAGAACTCTTGGCAAGACTGAAGTCTCGCGTGAAAGAGGTTTTTAAATTTTCTCTAAACCTCATTGGTGACTTAAAGGAGACCCTTAGGATTTTTCAGGTTTTTCGCCCTGAATCGATGACCAGATGACAACAAGTGTTCGATTCGGTTAACTATCTAATTTTCACATGGATGAGTGTTCCTTTGACCCACAGTAACCCCGCAGTTAAACCGATTCCAATCCCTCTTTGAAGTGGTAAAATTTCAATCGTAATGTCACCTGACGAAAGAAAGCAATTTCCTAATCTCAGAAGGAATTGCATGTGGTTTTTATGTCTCTCGAGTCCCTTTGATTGTAGAAACAATTTAAATTTCAAGAGCAAGGACCCTTACGTATATTTCAATTTACTTGCATTCCTGATAAATTTAGAGATGATCAAAGTCCTCTCCGCCCACAAATGAAAAATATAAAATCCACATTAGTAGATCTCGTTAAAGGTTCAATTGATTACCTGAAGCCTGTGAATTCAGACTTTGTCCAGTATTAGCGAAGAAAATCACAATGAAACACAAAACTTTCCAATCTGTAATCTAAAAACAATTCAACGTTTAATTTGTTAATATTCCGCACACTCTTTCACTGACTATGAATACTATTAGTAAGGTAGTATATGACCATGACGGTTAGCAGGGCTTACTGAGTGTTTCGTGGGCAGAATGTTTTTTGTTCAGTCTCGATATATCGATAACCATTTTTTTTTCTGTAGCTGGGTTCGCATCGTTAAAAATCCCCGTAACTGGCTTTGATTCTCTGTTTGGGAAACAAGAAAGCTCAAGGATCTCGGTTTGAAGCGTCCAATCATTCAACAAGCTTAAAAACATAACAAGAGAAATCTACTGGTGGTTAGATTTGAAGCAAATTTTATGACAGCCACCGTAAATTAGAGGGGTTGATAAGCCGCCCTAATAATTTTCCTTAAGAGATACACACGTGCCTGAGTGTGAAGCATGTCGATATCCTCCAAGTGAAAATGCTGATAGACCGCAACATTTATAAAAAAAATTACTCCGCAGTAAGATTCTCTTACCATGGCGACTCTTGCAAAATGGGCCTTTTTTCCTTGCAGTGGTCTGGTTTTCCTTGAGCTACTTTTGGACTTGAATGGTAAGTAAAGAAATCAATGTTCCTTTTATACAGTAGCTATCTTCCGGTGTTTGTGTTATTTTAAGTTCCTTTTCCTCGTCCGTGAGCGGAGTTGGCGTCTATCTAATATTCGTGTTACTCTATCGGATATAAATAAAAGTTCCAGCAAAACAAACAGAGGCCAACATCTCTACGCATCATTTAATAAGCACAGTTAATGACAAATTACATGTTCTCACTACCTCGTGTTATGAAAAACACTCCTTAATACGCCAGAAAAACAAACATTGAAGAG